TCACTGACTCCCATGGAACACTAAATTTCACATGCCATTTTGTCATTTAGCATTGAGACAGTGCAAGTGTTCTCCTGGCACTTCTCACTCGATCTCTGTGATCATGTATTGCTCTGCCAAGCAATGGAGACCCTGGAGAGATCTAGGATGGAATGGAGCCTTAGTGAACTCCAGGAGAAAATCTTTTTCTTCTAAAAGCTGATTATTTGTTCCTACTCTGTTTTCTCAGCTATTAAATCCATGAAATCAATTTCCCTTCTTTTTCTAAGGCAGTTTAGATCCTTTATGTTATGAAGGATGCCATCAGAAGTGTTTCTGAAATCCAGAACACATTTTATCAGCCAGACTGCCTTCAGCACAACTGGCACCTCTAAAAGATTTAAGAGGCAAAACTTTTTCTTTTAAAAGCTTTGTCTATGGTTTCTGAGGACAATGTATTTGTCTACCTTATGTCCAATCTTTACCACATCCTTCAATCAATGATTCCAATAAGTAAATTAAACAGAGATTTAATTCCTTAGAAATGTTTTCTAGAGTGGGCTAAGTCAGCCCTTTGTTTGCTGACCTCTTCTGGTACCCAAGACAGTTCACAAGACTATTAGTTTCTCACACAATTATTTTTAAAAGGGTTTTTCACAACTTTAAATAAAGAATTTGTGTGAACAGAATAGGGGCCTGGCAAATCACTTTGATGATTTTCTGCAGAGGGGACTGTCTGTGAAGTAGTCTCAGATTAAACCAATCATCAGTGTTGGAAATCTCCTTAGGCCTCTCTATTTGCAAAAAGGTGCAGTTTCCCATGAAGTTTTCCTCTTTGAGCATTTGATTGATACCTTCATCTCTCTGGTCTTTTTTCTAGACCCTAACGTGCTTAAAGAACTAAACCCATACTAATTTTTTAGAAGTTGTGCATCTAAATATTTTTGTTTGCCTTACTATGGATCTGCATTTAATGTGTAAATATCTCCCTTTTTGGATACAATTTCTACTTTAAGAAATCTTTAAATTTCTAATAGCTTCTTTTAAACTGTAGCTTAATATTTCTTTCCAAAGGAGAAGCTACTGAATATTTTTTTTATTTTTTTTTACATTTATTCTCTCCTTCTAAAATACAGAGGTTTAACAATAACCAAGGGGACATCTTTCCTTTGCTTTAAGGCTGTGCTTGTAGCTCAGACATGTTAATTTTGGACCTAAAGTACACACAGACTTTGTTTGTACCCCAATATCTACTTTTATGTACCCTGCCAAAAAATAAGATTATTTCTGAGAGTTTCCTGTTCTTAACATTCAAATGACTTTATAGAACCTTTTCATAACACACAGTTTACAATGAAATTTCTAGGAGGAAATAGAAATCAACTTGTCAGAAGCCAAAGTAAAATCAAATCTCTCCCATAGTAAACTTAAGGTAGTGTTTTCCAACCCAGGCAGTTCAACTAGATACTTACTCTCTCAATTTCATGGCATTTCTTAAGTGCTTCTCCAAATTTGTTCATTGCTTTGTAGGCTTGTGCACATTCTGTCTGAAACCACATGCACTGCATTTCATTCAAGTTCTCTACTGCCGAGGTTCCTTCCTAAAAGCAAAACCAGCATTAGTAAAAACCAGGAAAAAGTCTCATTCAATTTGTTAACTGCCATTTATCTTGCTCTAGTTAAAAGCACAAATAAAGAGTCTACCAAAAGGATACTAAATTTCAAAACTGCAGTGCTGAAAGTCAACTACTTGGGGTGGGTACAGCTGTTACAAACTTTACTCTGATCAGAGAATCAGCCAAGAGCCAAAGCAGAGAAAATGACAGATAATATTCAAAGGGGAGGGTAAGGAAAATGCCCTAAATGAGAGAGAAAGGCAGTCTTCAAACCAGCTAAAAATATGAAAAAAATTGTTAGTTCTATTTTCATTATTCTAATTTAGGCCTTCTTTAATTATTGTTTTTTGATTAAGAAGCTTGTATTGGAGCACTAGACATAAGATGAAAAGGAGATGAAAAAGAGTACACAGAGTACATCAAATTATATTTTTCAAGTTCATTTTTGGGCAATTGGTATGCCTGCTTTTTTGACATTGTCTTAAAGCTGCTTAAGGCATCAGGAGAGGTCAATTAACCTCAACTCATACCAGATTTGCATCAAAAACTCCACATAAAACTGCTGAGCTTATATAAAGCAGAACTTTTTTCCTCCGTGTTTGTTTGAACACGGCCTCCACTTCACCAAAATCCTTCAGCTTTCCCCTTCTGAATACCTCCTCCTCACCCCTCTGCTCAGCCTACCTTACTCCAGGTTTCTCCTGCTCTTTGAGAAAAATGGGGCAACATACAAAAAAGTCTTTACTTCTACAGGTAGGTCCCAATAGCTTGTTGTCTGCCTCCCACTGACAACTCATAAACGATACTGCCAGATATTCTGGAAAGGCAACACTGAGCTGTTTTGACTTTCAATTATGAAAGAGTAACAGCAAGAGGGTTTTTTTTATTTTAAATTGACTTCTAACTAACCTATGAAACCATCAAACCTATCAGAATGGGTTCCTGCAGGGACAAAAAAAAAATGATGCATGAAATTAGGCATTCTGCATAATAAAAACTTTTTCTGCCAGCTAACTTGTCATGGGTAAGCAGCCAGAAAAAAAAAAGGAGGAAAAATAGAAGATATAATATGCAGCTTCACTTCACCACTGTTAAACATAGCCTTAGGGATGAAAGCTTGTTCCTAACATGAGGATACCTCAAAAAGTCTCTCACATAGTAGACACATTTTGTTCCAAAAGCAGCCTGAATTCTCCAGCTTACTCCCATTAGAAAAAAAGAAAAAGACAGGGACAACTTTAAAAGATCTTCCAAGGAACCTACAGAATCAACATTAAATCCAAAGACTAAATAGAAAAAACAATTTTCTGAGGTGTTATCTCCAGAACAGGTGTGTTATATTTCTCCTGCCTGGCAAAAATTACCAAATACAAGCTTTAGAGTTTTCACTTAATACTAAGGAATCATGCTTATCCCAGATTAATTCCAACCCTGACATCAACTACCATTAGTGAAGCAAGGAATCATGGTTGCCCTGAAACAGAACTTAGAGAGATTGCAGTAAAGATGAGCAGAAAGTTAATACAAAGTTATTTCACAGGGGATTTGGCCCAAGTTATTCAAGAGTCACAGTTAAATGCAACAAACCCTTGTAAACTTAGAACACATTTCTTCTGCTTCTTTAATGGAGTTTGCTTTCAACATATATTTTGCACATTTGGAGTTGATAAATCTGTCTGCTGTGTCCAAGGCCTGAGCTTCATCCATCCACCTTGCAGCTTCTTTAATATTTCCAGCATGCTTAAAGAGATAGGAAGTTGTTAGATTCAGTAATTATAAAACATGCAGGTTTTATCTACTCATGGTTTGATATAATCAGTTATGGTTTTAAACATTTTTTAATAAATGGCTTCCTTCAGGAAAGGAACAGATCTTTAAAGTAAAAAAGCTGAAAAATTACTTTTTCTCATTATGGAATTACAGGTCTTTTGGCAGTAGACATTTCTTCATGAAAATACTTAAAGGACACTTTGGAGAATCTCATTCATGATTTATTATTCATATATCATATGGATAATACCATAGAGTAATTGAGAAGCTGTTTAAGTAGTTAAAACTATGAAGGATAAGAACAGGTAGAAGATATTTTAAATATCAACTAAATTTATTAGTGTGATTTTTAGCATCATAAATATGAGTTCTGAATTTACAGTTATATTTTGTAGTATATTTACCCTTTATTGACTTAATCTTCAGAGACACTTATTCATATGTGGTAGAAAACCCAAGTAGCCAAACAATACCCTTATCTAGAAACTCCCTAAGTAATTTTCCATGGATATTCCATGTGTCTTGCCTAATACAAGCTTAACACTTCAATGGTCACATCAAAAATATTCCAGGCAAGTTTAAGCACACACAAAAATCTTCCATCATAAGTAACTAATAACCTCTGGTCACTAAGACTAAGTCAAACTTACCTTATAGATTTTTGCCTTCACAAGGAAGAGTTCTATCAAAGTGGGAGTACTTTCTATAGCAGCATTTATATATTCTAGAGCCAGGGATGGCTGTCCAATTTTATCATAATGTTGAGCCAAATAATACTGGACCCAGAGTAAAGTGGTTGGAGGTTCTTCTTTACCGTCATCTGGAGGGAGAAAAGTGGAGGGAGGGTTTATTATTGTTCAGCTCACTAAAACAACATGCCAGAAGCAGAGTGCTATAAACACAGCCACTATAATTCTGCCTCTGTGTCAGGCTGTCACACCAGACCTGGGACTGCTTCCAAACACCTAGGAAGAGGTAAGACCATTAACTTCTAAGTCAACAGTTTGACAAGACCTGAGCATATACTGTTCCCTTCTCAAGCTGTGGTTTTAAGGAAAGGAGAAGGGAGTTGTGTGTCAGCAGGGAATTGCACTTGGCTCCAATTAGTCCCTTCACCAGGGCAGCCAGATGTGCAGGGCTGCAGTCTATGATGCAGGGTTCTCATTTAAAACCGTTCCAGATGAAGGGTACAGCCAGAAGAGTCCTGAGGCACAAGTGTGGCACAGTAAAAATGTCAAAGATTTCAGTAGATTTGGCATTTACAAGTTTTCAACCCATACAGATGAATATTTTTAAACAAAACAGGCCATCTGTCCCAAACCCTAGCTTTATAAAGATTCTTCTGCCTCCACCTTTGACAAGCTTATCATCACTCTTTGCCTGAACATGTCCTGGAAAACACTTACATAGAAGTCAGTTTAGAAAGAGAAAGCTCTGCTTGAAATCCAAACTACTACTGAAATCTTTAAAGTATAGCAACTTGTAAGGGAAAAAACCCCAAGGATATGGGGGCTCTAGTCATGCCAAAAGACTCTGGTTCTTTGGTTTAAGATATAACTTAACCATGTAATTATATGCATTTGTTCATCTTAAGGTAGCAGAAAATGCTTTATTTGAATGAAAATTAATATCAAAGAAAATACTGAACTGAAATAAAAGGAACCCATTTCCTTAAAACAGAAAAGCACAAATGTGTTTGAAAGGCTTGGACAAATTTACAGAGGTATTAAGTGGCTATATTGTAGCCTATAGCATTAAATTCAAAGGAAAAGTGTAACAGGCAACTCAGGTAAGAATTTTATGACCAGGTATTGCATTAGTGTTTCCACAAAGCAGGGAAATAACTGGTTCTAACTCAAACAAAAACATCTTTAATAATTAGGATTATCCTGTAAAGTTTTGACATAGATTGTCATTCATGTTATGTTCATTATTACATTATTAAACCCCATATACCAAAATTTCAACACTGTTAGGGAAGAACATTGAAAAAACAACATCCTCTCAATTTCTTCACTCCTCACTGATTCCTCTGCTCTGAATGGTCACAGAATGCTCACACCAGACACTACTTCCATCAAGTATGACAGTCTTAGCACTCACCATTGGGGTTAAATAACCTGCAGCTTCTTAGAGAGGTTTCATAACCTATCACGAGCTCTTCTATGATCGCCACCTACATACACAAGACAAGATTAAAAAACCCAAACAAAAATCTGTGGGAAAGATGGCATTTTATTTCAACTACTTGTGCTACCCAGATGAGTTTATTTTTGTAAGAGAATTCTACAATACCCTGAATTACAATACATATGGCAATGTGCTAAATCTCACCTCTCTTTTTAACAAATATAAGACCTAGACTCCTTTGGTGAAGGCTTCTGCAGCTTATAAGCAGTGAATCTTAGTTTTCTACATTTACCAGCTTGGCACAAGGGTTGTTTTTCTAGATAATACTAGGCCAGACTATACATTAGTGCTGATAGAGTGAGCACAGAAAAAAAACCCCTTCCTTTACCTCTTTAATGCATCACATCTATGAGGTAGAACATAAAAAGTTAGGGAAAAACCTACCTTCTCCTTGTCCTTATATAAGGACCTCAAAGTATTGAAGACTGGTGGGCAACCTTTGCTGAAATTCATCCTTAGAAACTTGTCCAGACATTCCTTAAACTTTTCACCTTGAGAGGAAAAAGACCTGTTGATTTTGTTTTACCACACATTACTCATCACTTGCAGACTGTTTATGTTGTTAAAACATTAGTATCTAAGAAACAAAAATGTTGATCACTACCTGTCCAGGAAAAATGCACTTACCCGACAAAAAATTTAATGGCAATCTTCTTGGAACTAGTCCCCTTGGGTATTTAGTCCAGGCCTCTTCATAGATCTTTAGCCTCTCCATCATGTTAGCTGGAACAGAATTTCACAGTTAACTTTTTCCTTCCTTTTTGGCAGGAAGGGAAAATGGGTGGGGGAAGGGATTTGAATCTGGTTAAAAAAAGAACCACAATATAGGGCAACTAAAGGCTATATACTTCCTACAGAATGAATCTCCATTTTAGTCTTTTTAAAACTGGCATGCATGATTTCAGGTACTCAGTATCTGTTAATCCCTCTGCCAGCAGTGGAAGCCTAACTGCTTCTCTCTTATCTTAACAAGAAGTTCCTGCCTTATCTCTGTGCTAAAATCATCAACAAAGAAAACCTTCAGGAGAAATCTTTTTCCAAAACCTCCATTATCTACAACATAAGATTAAGATAACAGACACAGTCAAAGAAAAATTCCAAATTGAAAACTGTCTTCTATGAAATAATTCTCTGTCAATCATGCACAAGGATTACTGC